GGCCGGCGCAGCGCCGAGGGGCGCTGGGCAGGTTTGCGGAGTTGGTCGCCGCCAGCCGTAGTGACAGGGCGCAGAGAGAAAGCCATGCGGGCCACAGCCTTCTCCGGAGCGGCCCTCGCCTGGGTTTCTCCCTTTAGCCTGTTCCTGGGTCTCCAGGAAGTAAGGACAGGAAACACCGTTCCCAGCTTTTGTTAGGGACTGCAGCTCTCCCTGAGGGCAGTGATTTTCAAGCCTGGTGCACATTCAAGTCACCTGGGGATTTTCAAGCCTAGTGCACATTCAAGTCCAAGAGAGAGAAAAGTGAGTCTCCCTGTGCCCTGCCCTTCCAGTCCTGATTTTCTCTCGGGGGGTGAGGCCCTGGTCCCCACAAGGCCCTGAAGTGCACCAAGATTAAAAGCTGCTGTCATAAGGTGGGTTAGACTCCCAAGGTCAAGTTGAGAAACCCCTTTTCAAACTCAGAAACATCGCTGTAATTGTGGTTTCAGCCTTGACTAAGATGTTGGAACAAAAAATAAGGATGCCCAGGGCCAAATCGGTCAAAGTCTGTAGAGGCGGGGCCCGGGTGCCTGGGTGTGGGTTCTGATAAGTCATCAGGTGCTGCTTTGTGCAGTGGGTGTTGAGATTAACTGACACTGTTGTGGAGTCACAGGGCACTGTCCCGTTGCCTGAATCAAAGGTTAAATGTCACGTTGGAATTAAGGGTTAAAGGAGCAGTAAGTACTACAGCCACAGAGCATCTCGTTCCTGATTCTGACTTCAGCATGAGGCTGAGAGGCAGTGACTGTCCCTGTTAGAGCATCGCTCTTCAGAGCCGATGGTGCAATCGCCTGGGTCAACCCAGAGCGTCTGGGAGGGGCCCGGGCGCCTTCACTGACAAAGGGCTTCCGGAAGACCCTGCTGCTGCGTGTCCCTGGACTGTGCCTTGCATGGCAGCTGCTGGAAGATGTTCCTCCGCCAGTTGGCACGCACAGCATCGGAACCATCTCAGATTTACACAGTGGTTGTGACTCAGTGCTCCCGTGTCACCACCGTATGTCCTCTGAATCAAAGATGCTGTTGGACCCTGTGTGCCAGGGCTCATGCTGGCTACTGAGGGATGCAGAGGTGGCTGCAAAGACCTTAGCCGCTGTCTTCATTGGGCGCTTTGCAGCCGTTTCGGTAAACTGGCCAGCTCGTTCCCCGCTGCTCCGTCTTCCCGAGGCTGTTCTCACGCTGCTTTCCCTGGGCTTGTCATCCTTCTCTCTGAACCTTTGTGGGCACTTGCTCTGCCTGATCCTTAAACGCGGCTCAGCTGCAGAGCTCTCCCACACTCCCTGGACTGTCCTCACTCCTGGTTTCTGTCACTGGCTGTACGCCAGGCACCCCAAACCTTCGCCTTGGGTCCGTGCTCATCTCACGCCGGCGGCTCACTCCGCGCATTCCCTCAGGTCCATCCGCCGTGCCAGCCTCGGAGCAAGTAGCTACTCATTTATAGCCTAAGTTTTTTCTCTCAGAAGGAGCTAAAGCAGTTTCCCTGGGTATAAAAATTTAACAAGACTATAAAAATAGGAGATAAGAGAAACAAGGGTAGCGGTCTAAAGTAAGCATGAAGTCTTGCACTTGACCCAGGCAGGCCCTGAATCTGAACGGCCTGGTGGCCAGACCACCAAGAGCATTTCCAGAGAGTTCTGTGGGACGTTGTGCCCAGATGAAGACAAGGCACGCGTGCGCCGAGGGCTGGGCTGTCCCAGTACTGGAACCAGGTGACACGCACAACAGCAATGGGCTCGGGCTGTGTTGGTCCACGCCATCCCCCAGTGACACAGACCTCGTCTCGCTCTGAGGCCTCAGGGCCCCGCTGAGCACCACCCGCCCTTAGACCCCCGGCGACGCCAGCTCACTCCTCCCCACGCAGACACACTGTGCTTCATGCCCCTTTTCCTTTCTCAGCCTGTCCCTCCCTTGAAAGATCTGTCGCTGTCTTCCTGGCTGAGCCCAAGTCCGGTGCCTCTTCCTTCCCTGCTTCTCCAGGGCAGCATGCCAACAACGCATGTCCCCGACGCAGCCCATAAACACCTTGGTCGTGGTTCTGCTCCGTTCTTATCACAGCCGAAACAACATGTTGGGGTCGGACTGTTCTGTTCGACTGTGGCTTCTCTGAGGGGACAGGGCCTACCTTATCCTTGTGGTCCCAGCCTGTAGCACGGTGCCTGGCACACAGGTAAGGCTCCGGGCTGCCGAGACTGTCACATCAGTGAAAGCGAAACATTGCCACACGAGAGGTCAGGTGTGTGTGCTGTGCAGAAGCAGGAGGGACTTACCTGGCCCCCATGAGCAGGGACTTGCAGGCTGCAGTTTTGGGAGCTGGGGGCTGCAGCAGGCGCGCTGTGAAGGGATGTGGACGTTCTCTGCGTAGGCCGCAGGGCGTGGGCCTTGAACAAGGCCTGTGGGGAGTGAAACCTGGCCTCCCGGGCAGCGGGCTGCTAGCTGGGTGAACACTGCGGGGGCCCGAGTGTCCGGCCAGGGCCCCAGGTGGCGCAGGAGGGGTAGAGGCCGGGGGCAGGCGAGCGGCTCATTCTGAGTGGCGTCCAGGGCAGCTTGCAGGGGCCTTTAAAGCCTCCCCTTTGGTGCCCCTGGGCACCCTGCAGTCACATGGGCATGGGGAGAAGGCAGGCCCCGGGGGCAGAGTCTGGCTTGGGGCGTCTCCACTCACCCGGAGGCTTCAGCCTCCCTGTAACAGCGCCTCCTGGGGCCTGCCTGTAGGGACGGTTTGTCACGTGTGGTTAAGTGCAGACCCTGGGGAAGACCAGCTGACGCAGCTGGACGACCGTGTCTTTCTCAGGCCAGGACAGGAGGCAGGAGGCAAGAAGCCCTCCAGGTACCGCTCCGCCTGTTCCCTCCAGGGAAACGGGGGACAGCGCGGGTCAGAGGTGACAGAGGTGGTGTCTGGAGGGGCCGCGAGGCTGGGGTGGGAGAGCAGGACCAGGCGCTTCGGGCTGCACTGCCCAGAGCCTCCATGTGGCAGGCATCACCCTCCAACCGTGCGGGGTGGCCCCTGGGCCTGTGGGCGTGCCAGGCCGCAGTCTCAGCCCTTGCTCCTGAGCCTCCCGCAGCCGACCTGCCAGCTGGCTGTTTATGCCCCAGTGACAGGTGCGCAGACGGAGGCACAGGAGGGCCTGTGAGCGTGCCAGAGCCGGGCATCAGTGGTAGCCTTGTTCCCATCTGAGCTCGTGCCAGCCCGCAGCAGTCGGGGGGAGCCCCCTCCTGTGATTGCTCAGTGTCCCCCTGGCCTCCAGGCTGCCAGGGCAGTGTCATGGGCCACATGGGTAGCTGGGCCGGGCCTCCCCTGGGGCTCTGCGCACAGCCGCCTGCCCCGCAGCACGGGCCCTGGGCGCCCAGGGCGCCTCCCCCACCTCTGCCCTCTGGTCCTCCCCGCCACCTCACTTCATGTGTGGCTTGGAACCTCCAGCCCTTGGTAAGGGGCCTGGCTTTCCCAGTGCGGAGGTCTTCTTGGCCCGCACTGTCCCCGACAGGAAAGGGGCCAGCAACCATAGATAGTGGAGCGTGTGCCAGGGGCCCGGCCCCGCTCAGAACTCCGTGAGCCCTGGGCAGTGTTCTCTTTGCGATGCTCACGGGCCTCTGAGTCTCAGGGACCTGAGCCCAACAAGCAAAACCTTCCTGTGGGAAATGTGCTCAGAACTGCGACGGCAGGTGAGCCGCACTGCGGAAGGTGGCCGGGCCCGTCCAGGCCAGGGACTTGCAGGAGCAGAACGGTGACCGCCACCGTTTCCTCTTGCTCTGCACTCTGCTGTCCCTGGCATCAAGCACTGACCTGGGAGTGGAGCTCTTGCCACCCCGGAAGGGACTGTCGGGACCCGAGACCCAGCTGAACATCAGGCGAGAGATTCGAGATGGTCCCCATCATGGCAGAGCTCTGGCTAGGGGCAGTGAGGGAGGCCTAGTGGGGACAGACTGGACCGAGATGACGGCCAGCCCCATCATCTTCCCCTCTGGCTGGCATCTGAGGGGGCCAGTCAGGCCCCTCCAGCGCGTGGCCCTCTGCGCGCGGCCCCCGGTTTGCATGACAGCCCTCTCCAGGCTGGCCATGAGCTGGCGGGGCTGCCACAGGTCCCACCAGCAGATGCGGGCCCTGAACGACTCGAGTCTCCCTGGGTCCCGCACAGAGGACTCGGAGGGGAGGAGGCGTCCATGCTGCTGGACTGTTGTGGCTTCCGAGACGCCCAGCACTGCGACCCGGGAGCCTGGTGGCCACAGTTCCAGTCATGAGGTGGCTTCTCTGGGGCCCTGAAAGCTGTGTGGAAGATGGCCCTGGGCAGTGTCCTCTCCATTCCATGCTCACCGCCTGTCCCCCTGTCCGTGCCACAGGTCCCAGGCCGAGTCACACAGCCGTGCCGCCTGTACAGTGACGCTCCCCCCCTCACCTTGGAGGGCATCAAGGACCGGGTCCTTTACGTCCTGAAGCTCTACGACAAGATCGACCCGGAGAAGGTACTGGGCGCCGTCTGAACGTTCTTTAAACAAGCATCTGATCACCGGTACGGAGTTGAGAGGGTCCCACCAGACGTTCAGCAGTCTCCCTGTGCCAGCCGCCCAGGCCCCGCTGGGAGGCGGCCAGTGGAGCCAGCGTCCTGTGCCTTCCGGCTAGGCGGTGCAGACGCAAGGATGCGCCCACACGTGCACCACGAGCACCATGCGCCGGGCCATGTGCCCCCGCCCTTTAATCACAAGTGGTGGCACGGCCCGCGCGGACGCTCTGCAGCCCGCCCTGCGAGCGTAGAGCTCGCGCCGTTCTCTGCTGGCACGTGAGCTCCTTATTTAATGACCGACGCTGCCGTGTGGGTTTCTGGTTTGTTTTTTGAGGGGTAATTGACATGCATTAACTTCAGGTGTGCAACACGGGGATTCGATACTTCCGTATATTGTGACTTGATCACAATAAGCCTAGTTCACACCCAGCTCCATGCACAGTTACAGATTTTTTCCTCGTGATGAGGACTTTTAAGACCCACTGTCTCAGCGATTCTGAAACGTGCAACACAGGATAGTCACCATGCTGTTCCCTGCATCCCCGTGATCGCTGGTCTTGACGTGGGTTTCCGACAGATGAGAGGCGATGCGGGAATAAACACTATCTGCCGTTCGTGAGGGAGAGGGCCGTCGCCTCTGGGGTGTGGCGTCTTGTTAATAAGGCAGCAAGAAAGACCAAACTCCAATGCCATTCAGAGCAGTGAGCAGAGATCTCAGTAAAATGTGTAAAGTGAAATCCATCACTAGGTTTTTACACGTTGTTAACCACTTCAAACCAAGGTTAGTAAGTCGCCACGCAGGGCACACCAAGAACCTGTGTGGGTGATGTTCTGGCTCCCCTGCTTGTCGCTCTAGGCAACGATTAGGTCACCCTGGGAGCGAAGGCTCACAGAATCTTGTGTTTGCTGCCCTTTCTTGCAGCTCTCGGTAAACTCGCATTTCATGAAGGACCTGGGCTTAGACAGCTTGGACCAAGTGGAGATTATCATGGCCATGGAGGACGAGTTCGGTAAGGCACGCAGAGCCCCGGGGCTGCAGTGTGCTCCTGGTTCAGGGGGACTGGCGTGAAAGGGATGCTGGAGTGAGCTGGGATCCGCATCGGATACGTGAACAGCAGCCCTGCACACACACACGCACACACGGGCCTTGGTTACCTGCAGCGTCCTACGCACGCTCCCAGTCATCCACGTTTGGCACAGTTAGTTGTACAAATGGGACCTTTCAAGGCTCCACAGCTCATTTTTTCGGGTGAATGTGCCATCCTACAGAGCCGTTCCGAGCTAAAATCCCTCACGGTATGCTATCTAGGGGGGTGGATCTGTTAGGGGAGGGGTGGGAACGGGGTTTATGGTGATGGTTGCACCACCTTGTGAATGTACCAAAAACCACGAGTACAGCTTAAATGGGTGAGTTTTCTGTTATGTGAACTACATGTTAAAGGAACCAGATGTCTATCCAGCACGATACACATGTTGTCCAGGGCGTAACTGGCTCGCAGCTAGATGGGCTTCGGGGTTGTTACAGAGGTTGGGTGCTTTCAAGTCTGAAGGATCTGCTGTTTCTGTACTCAAGTACTGTTTAACATTTTACTTTCTAGGATTTGAAATTCCTGACATAGATGCGGAGAAGTTGATGTGTCCACAGGAAATTGTAGATTACATTGCAGATAAGAAAGATGTGTACGAATAAAGGATCAGGTAGGTAATTTGATTGCAGAACGACATTCCCCCATAGGATCAGTCTCTCTAGGGTTCTTTAGCAAAGTAAGACTTGGGGAGAAATGGAAAGTGGGGATGCTTGACAGAGTGGCCCTCGGAGGGGGCCAGCCTTAGTGACCTTTGTTCTCAGGAGGGGCTCAGAGCGATTCAGGCCTGGACAGACCCCTCATAAAGCTGTCTTGTGGAAAATACTGAGCAGGCAATCCCGCAGCAGAGACTCGTCTCCGCTGTCACCCCAAGGCCAGCCCAGCTGCTGTCCAGTCAGGTGGGACGGCCTAGTGCTCAGTCAGGCTGCAGGGGCAGGAGGACAGACTCTGGAGTCAGACACTTGCTTACCTGTCCCAGCTCCGCCGCGTTCCGCAAGCCTAGCGACCTCGGGCAGGCCACCTGGCCTCTGTGAGCGTCAGCCTCCTCACCTGTAAGATGGGGATGAAGATACAACCTACCTGGGGCTTTGTGAAGGTAGAAACGCAGTAGTGTATAGATCAGTCACTTAATGACAGTGCTTGATGGGAAAGAGGCCTGTCAGGAAGGATTAGCTGCTGGGATTTAGGCTCTGGGACAACCACGAGGAAAGGCTTGAAATGCAACAGCGCCCGTATGCCCGTACTCTGGGTGCAGCACCTCGGAGAGCGCCCCCGAGAGTCAGTAGCTGCGGAGAAGGCTGACCTCACTGTGTCTTTGCCAGATCCTTTTCTCGCGGGAGAAGACGCGGAGGAGACGGGCGCGTGTCTGGCAGCGGGGACGCGGTTGGTGGCGGTGCTGACAAGGCTGGGCTGGTTCTGTGTAGACTTGTATTTAAATTGTCTATGTTTTTGCCCTTTAAAAATAAATCTATAAAATCAGCACTTTTCTCAGTCTTTAGTTTTCAGCGATGTCTGTAAAGTGCTTTTTCTATTGACTTTGCATAATGTTTTTAAAGCTCTGTCCCAGGCAGTCTCGTGGATGAGAAGTGGGTGACTCTGCCAACAGTGGACTTGAATTAAGTTTTTCCCCATCGCCTTCCGTGTAAGGAATAATAAACCTTTTTGCCTCAAAACCTTTCTCCATCATTTTATGGCTTCTCAGATGCTTCGTGACACCACCACACGGGTTACTTTTTCAACCGTCCTAAGGTTCTTTCCAGATTAATAGCATTTAATAGTTTTAGAGGACAGAACACTCTGGGAAGGTCAGCTTGGCAGGGCGTGCCCCCGTCAGGCGTCAGCAGCGTCAGCCCCACCCCTTCCCCGCAGCGCCGTGGCAGGCCTCCCCGGGGTGCATCTGAGCCCGCCACAAAACTACCTGCTTGACGGCAGCGGCCGGGGCCTGTGGGAGGCGGGGTCTAACACGTGCCGTGCTATGTGGTGGATGGGAAAGGCGTCCCAGGCAGGGAGGGCATGGGCGGGTGGCCCTGGGGTTCCAGACGTGGCTGGGACCTCAGTCTGGTTTTTGGCAGTGGGGGCGACAGTTTTCTGCAGGGGAGATGGAGGGTCAGATGGGTTTGTGCCCAGTTGCCGGTGGCTGTGCAGATGGACAGAGGGGATAAAGGTGGAGGCTGCAGCCAGAGCCCACCAGGGGAATGCAGAGGCACTGGGCGGACAGTCGGAATAAAATGGCACAATGAGAAGGGGACAGGGCTAGGACTTCTCCCCGTCCGGGGAGAGAACTCGCCGGCAGGGGGCGTTGAGCTGGGCTGAAGGGAGTCTTCAGGGCTTGTCCCGCTGAGGACGCCCACCCCAGCAGGCTCCTTATGCCTCCGTCCATTGGTGACAGGCCTGACTTGGCTGTCACTTCTCTGATGAGTAAAGTGGGGGTGACGAGGGACGTGGGAGGGTGCTGATAGCATAATGCAGATAGTCTGACCCGGTGCCCGGCACGTGAGTGACTCGGTGAAGGCGCGGACGTCACAGGCTGAAGGCGGGGCGTTTGCAGCAAGGTCCTCATGGACAGGGCGCCCGGAGGAGGTCCCCATGCCTCACCAAGGCTGGGGCCCACAGGCGGTCCTTTCCAAGTGGAATTGACCTGGCACGTAGCAAGAGGCTAGCCCTGCTAGGCAATCTGCCAGAGCTGTTGTCACCTAGTCTGGGGTGTTCGCCTGCAAGCCCCCGCCTCACTGGATGGAAGTCAGCTGGCACGTGTGGCTGTGAGTATCGTGTCCGTGTGGAGGGCAGGGGTGACGAGCCAACGAGAGCCCCAGGTACTTGCCTGAAATGCTTAGGGAAGAAAATCGTCCCCTTTTCCCTGGGGTCACTAGTCGGGTGGGATTCAGCCCAAGGGTCAGGCGCCCGAAGACCCCTGGGAGCACCTGCTCTGGGTGAGGCTGACGGGACTCACCCGAGTTAGGTGGACTGGCTTGTCACTGAGAACAGGAGTCCTGCATCATGGGCCCCTGGAGTAAGCCCTGACCTGGGTGAGCCCCGAGAGGACTGCCTTCTAGGACCACAGCTGCAGCTGGGCACGGGGAACCCACGATGTGGAACACTCGTGACAAGAAGGGAAGAGACAGATCGGGCTCATAACGAAAACTAAGATTGAAAAAGGGGAAACGCCCTCCAGTGAGAGGGAAAACCAAGACTGTCAGCCGGTCGGGGCATCAGAAAAACACAAGACTGGGTGCAAAACATCTGGTTTATTGACTGGGAAAAAGCTCTCGAGGTATTTTGGTCTGTACGTCAGGAGATAGTACTGAATCGACAGTGTCCTTGGACGATGGGGGCCACAATATCCAGAGGCGAAGTGCCATGGCGTCCCCACGTCTGTTGGATGCTTCGGCAAACCGCAGTGCACGTAGCTAGAGAAGGGGAAGCAGACATGGCCACTCCGTAAGGACCAGTGAGCCCAGGTGGAGGGGTGAGGTCACTGTGGCCTGCTCCAACTTTCTGTAGGTTCGAAAATTTTCCAGCACAGAAAAGAGAAAACAACGAGGTGTTCGCGAGGCAAGGGGGAGGGGCGAAAACGAGCCAGAAACTTGGAAATTATAAAATGGGTGAACAGCAGGGAAGGCGTAGCACGGGAACAGAGGCCAACAAGGCCCAGAACACACACAGCCATGACAAAGCAGGGAGAGCTAGGGTTAGTCCCAGCTGGAAGCGCCCGGTGGAGGTGGCTCAGGGGTCCTGGGTGGGAGGCCTCTCCTGTCCCCACGCAATGGGCTGGACACTGCCTCCAGCAAAAGCAGAATTCGTTGCTTCTTGCTCTGATGACTGGCTCACAGGGTCCCTACTGCGGAAAGGGCTATTACCCACAGCAGAAAATCGCTGGCCCCCGCCCCAGAAGTTCTGCTAAGACCTTCAGGCTGAGAGTTATGTCACATGTCACTGTCCGCCCTATGCGCTGAGGGGCAAAGGCGCCTGGAGCAGCCGCTGACAGCTGGGACCACAGCCAGACACGCCCTGTGTACAGACAGCAGACGAGGCAGGCGTGGCCGTCGCCCGTCCCCCACCCCAACCCTCTCCGTGTCAGTCAGACCCTTGAGCTGGGAGCCCAGCCATAGGGTCAGGAGGCTGCAGAAGGGCAGGAAGGGGTGGGCAGCCCAGACCCTGCAGGAAGGCTCGCCATGCACAGGGGACCAGGGCCCGCGGGAGTGGCGTTGGGCCCAACTGGAAGTGACAAGCTACAAGCATGTCTCCATGCCCAGGGCTCTGCTCTTTCCACCTGGCACTGGGTCTCCCCTCCCTCCGGGGTCTCTGTGGCTCGTGGTTTAGAGCTTGAGCTCCAGTGCAGCGTGTGAGCGAACGTGTCCTCTGAAGCTAAATGGCTGGGTGTCGTCACATGAGGCATGAGGATGCGAGGCCAGAGCAGGTGGAGGAGGGCCATCCTGACAGGAGCGGGGCCTGGGCCATGACTGAGGGAGGAACCCAAACCCCTGAACCAAGTGTTTTCCGCGGGATACACTCAAAGCCAAGTAAACAGGACAGCAAAATGGCTGCACAGGAACCATGCTGAGGGACCTCAGCTGGCAGAAAAATGGCTGTGGTCAGTATCGGTCCATCCCCAGCCCAAATCAGGCGCAAGAAGAAACAGAAGGAAAAGGAGACACAATTCATTATCAAACTTTAATTGACAGACTAATCTTACAGGACAAACAATAAGACAGCTGGTCAAGGTCACACTTCGAAACAGTCCAGCAGCACAGATCAAACAGACTGCACGTGTTCGCCTCCCCAACGGCATCTGCTTCCACACGCACCCGGACAGAGCGCGGCCCAAGGGGACACGGGCCTTCATGCACGGTGGCGGTGGCTCAGGCTAGCTCTGCAGAGCTCTAAGGGATACACACAGGCTCTGAGCAGCCTGGCAGGTGCATGGGCCGGACGTCTGCACTTCCAGGAGGTGCCCGGCCACCTGTGCCTTCAGAAAGGCCACCAGGCCCCGCTAAGGAGACAGGCACCAGTCCTAGCTGAGGGTGACTGTCACGAACCCTTAAGACAGAGGGACCATTCTTTCCCGACAACAGGCAGGAACAGAGGCGAGGGGCGAGAGAAGGCGTCCCTCGGAAGACGGGGGAGGGGAAACAGGCCGCCCCTGGCACACCAGGGGCCCACTGCGGCCGTCCCTTCCCGCCTCTGCCCCTACAAAGAGAGGGGGCAGGGCCAGACACTGCAGTGGGGGCCCTGGGGCCCCCCCATGCGGAAACGAGGCGGCTTCTCAGCCCCAAGGCTGCGCTCTGGCCCTCGTAAGGACAAGCAGCTGGGGAGAGCAGAGTGCGCCTGCGCCCGGCAGACCCTCCTCAAGCGGCCGCCACCCACAGGCCCAATGCCACTCCTCGCTCGCTGTCAGGCTGACATGACAGCGGGAATGGCCGCGGGCAGAGTTCTCCGCCATGTGGCCTCTGGCAGGGGCGTGAGGCCCATGAGCAGAGACCCGGCCCCAGCATCCTCCCCGTGTGCCCTGCGGCCCTGCCAGCTCCTCTGCCCACCGTGGGGCCTCCGCCCAGGGCCACCCCGGGCCCTGAGCAAGAACCAGCCCTGACGCTGAAGGCTGCATAGGAACCATGCTGATGGACAGTCCCAGGATGTCACCCAACAGGGCGCACGCACTCCAACCTGCAACAGACCTGGTATGTTCTGGAAGAGACCGCACGCAGGACTGGGTGACAAGAGCTAACACCACTGGGACCCAGACACGGTCTACATCAGAGGCCACCCGCCTCTGTCCTCCGAGGGCCTCTTGCCAGGTCCCCACGCAGCCTGGGTCAGGAGCCAGCACGCAGGGTGGTCCCACGGACTGGGGTGCCCTGGGCAACGGGGCTCGGGCAACTCTGTCCGGAGAGGTGTCCCTTATACTGCTCTTTATACGTAGCATCTCGAAGTAAGGAAAGAAGCACCATTTTACTTAAAAAAAAAAAAAGCTCACACAGGCTTTGGTCCTGTCTCGAAATGGCACCAGCCTGAGTGAGAAGCGGTTTGGCCCCTGGGGAGCGGGGAGACGATAGGACACACACAGTCACTGGGAGAAGGGACGTCACAGGGCGCGGGCAGCCACACAGACAGGGCGGGAAGGGCCTCGGCGAGCAGCATCGCCAGGACAAGTATCCAGGACAATGACGCTGGCCAAGCTAAGAGAACGCCATGCTGGCCACATGGCCATCTCCCTTCAGGCCTGGCCGGGCAGGAGACTAGCCCCCTCCACAGAGCTGCAGGCCGGCGGCCGCTGCTTTCTCACGGCTTCCGGGGGGCTGCGCCCCACAGATGTGCTTCTGCCATCAATGGCTGGACCAGATGTCCCCGCGGGCCGCATCAGCTGGCACTGACTACACCGGAAGCATGAGCCTGTCTACACGGCTGAACTCCTGAAGGGCAGCTTGGAGGGGAGGACACACTGTCATCACGAACTGGCTCACGGGGACAGTCACCTGAGGCGAACGCATGCTCAAACGTGTCACAGAACGAAGGGAACACCTAGAAACCAGGACGCAGGCTGGAAACCTCTCGCCAACCTCGCCACGCGGGCCTGCCACCAGAGAGGGAGGCCGCAGACACGGCCGCGGAGAAACAGCAACTGCACAAGGAGGCCACTCAGCAAGGGACGCTCGTTCGTGGCAGAGGCGACCCCGCTGCGAGGGGACAACGCAGCTCACGAGTGTGTGCGAGCAGGGGCGCCAAGCCCAGGGCAGGCGCGCTGGGCACAAGGCGTTTCCGCCATCGCCACGCTTAGCTGCCTCGGCCCGCCCACGCGGCGATGTGTCCCCTTGGGAGAAAGGCAGCACCTCTGAAGCTGGGACCAAGGACACTTGAACACGATGCACGAGCAGAGGGACCACATGGAGAAGCGTAATCAAAACACTCACTGGACGGCGTACGAATTTCTTGAAACTTCCAAAGTTAAAGGGTCTGGGCTGCGGCTCTATGGCGGTGTAAGCCGTCCTCCCCCTGACCCCACCCCACCCGAGAGGCCCCTGCTGGCCGGTCACTGCCCTAGACCAGCACGGCCCCAGCAGCCCCGAGCCAGTCTGGGCGTCAAGGCCAACGGCAGAGGCTGCGGACACACAGTCCGCAGCAGCCGCGCTCCCGAGGTCGTGCCCAAAGCGCGAGGCGTTTAGACAGGAGTCACCGCGAGGCAGGCTGCTGCTCGACAGACACCCCGGCAAGCGTGACAGCTCCCCAACCGAGACGCGGCACGCCTCCTCCCCACCACGCGTTCGCCAGCAGCAGCGTGGCCGGCGGGAGGCCAGGAGAGGCAGCGACGATGAGGTACAAAAAGAGGAACCGACATCTTTGGGTTTTCAAAACAAAAGTTCAAACCGAGGAAGTGAGAAAATAAAGAAGGGAAAGAAACTGGAATCGATGGACAGAAAAATATGGCTTCCTAACCCCCCCATTTTGCATACAATTTTATAGGAAAAACGCCCCAATTCATCACAACACAGTCCAGATGTTTGCAACCAAAGATTTATGAAAATATTTCAGTTGAAATCACTTAAAAAAAAAAACCCAGAAAGCTTTTGATCATTCCTTTCTAAACACACTGGCAGGCCTACTCTCGGACACACGTTAAGAGTATTCCACACACGTTCGGAATTCAGATTTATTGATTCCCCCCGTACTGACTTAAAAATGATATGAAGCTGACTGCAAGAAAGGGAACCGGTGGTTTAAGTTAAAATTAAGCTAACGGTGAAAGTACATCACCTCTGGCTTCAGTCACCACATCACCTTAGATTGGATATAGACTGTTTTTTTGAACAAAGTTCCAGAACTCTGAAATCCAGGGATGCTGCAGGCCTCTCCCGGCAATGTCCTTCCCTTTGGGTCAGTCTCCTGGGCCAGAGGTGAAAGTGCTTTCAAAAATACTGCCACTTCCCCAGCACAGTGTCTTTGATTGCGTCCACATATTGAGTTGGAACCCAGTACACCCAGTAGTAAGAGGCTTCCGTGGGACCCAACTGAAACGCCTAAGAGAAAGAGGAAAACCAAGCGACACTTCAGAGGCTGGGAGACGGGGTGGCAGACAACACACACGGGGGAGGCTGAGACACGTGGGGGGCATTCTCGTCAGTGACAGCAGAACCACGAGAAGGGGCCGGGACGTGCGGCCAACCCTAGCACAACAGCTCCCGAACCGGGGGCGTCGGGGCAGACGGCTGGCTCCACCCTGAGCTTCTGGGCTGGGGCCTGAGGGTCTGTGCCCCTACCGAGGTCCCGGGGGCTCTAATGCCGCTGACCCGGACACCAGTTCGGGAACCGCTGCCCTAGATGACGGTCACACACGCCCAAGGAAGCGGGTGAAACCGTCGGGAATGGTGAAAACCTGGGAACAGCCGTCATGCCCACCAGCGAGCAAACGCAAAATTAAAAGTGACACGGCCAATTCGTGGGAATTCTGGGTCACTTTTAAAAGGCGTGAACTGGATCTATGGTAATTACAGACAAACCAAAAAAAAAAGGCAAGACGTGGAGGATACAAACCATGACACCACTTAGGAAACTGACAAAACACGCACCAAGACTGAATCAGGGGCGGGGTGTGCGTGACCACCAAAGCAGAGACGGGAAGGCCCGCGTGACAAGTCAGGGTACTGGCGGTGGAGGAGGGGGAGGCAATGGGGACGTATTCAGCGTTGGAAAATTTTCCTTTACTTAAAGATTTAAAACAAGTTACAAAATATTTGCAAGGATCATTTCTCGGTGATGAACATGTGGGTTTGCCAGGCATCTCTGTTCTTTCCTGTCTTCTTCAAGACTTCTCTGAAAACGACAGAGCGCGGCCACCCCCAGGGTGACTCTGGCACACCAGTCCAGCTGGTGGGCTGGCGTCTGGAGAGGGCAGAGAGCTCCTCTGTCCCCAGACGCGGCGAAGGTGCTGAATGGCATTCGGAGAAGAGGGGCGAGCAGAGCCGCCCGCTGCCAGTGACTCAGGAAAGAAACGAGCACGTGAACTGGACCTGCGGCGAGCCCCCGCCGCACTGGCCCCTCACCAGGGCTCCAAGTGGCCCCCAGCTGTGTGGGCCCGGGCCTGGCTGCCTGAAAACCAGGGCTGCAAACCCCAGAGGGCTGGACCCGGAGGACGAGTGTTTCGAAGGGCAGTGATGGGCCCCGGCCGAAAAGATTAACGCCCAACTCTTAAAAGCAAAAACAAAACAGCTGAGCAAAGCTATCCACCTGCGTCCTTGAGACAGAGACGAGGTGGCAGGGCCGCTGGAGGGCCCGAAACCTGTCGACCCCACTCCCAGGGGCTCGCCCAGCTCTGCGTCCCGACCAGGCCGTGCTCCAGTGCCCCCACCTGAGCGGGAGACACCGACAGGCCGGGGGGCGGGACGGCTTCCCCAGAGCTTGAGGATCCGCCACGCGTCCGGGAGGACTGCCCTAACGCCAGGCCCCCGCACCGCCTCTGCCGCGGACTTGGCAACCCCGGCCCCCGGGGACAAGGACCGTGCTGACGCAGCTGCAGCCCTGCTGGCTGGACGCTGGAGAGCTGCCCCTCAGACGGAGGACGGCAGACGGGCGCCTCGCCCTGTCACAGCGGCTTCGGGGTGTGGGCACCTAAACTTCATTTTTAAAGTGCCCTGGGAGGCGGGAGGGCGGGCCCGAGCTGCCCATGTCACTGAGGCGCCCTCGCTCTGCGGCCTGGGCACTGCCTCCTGCCTTCCGCCTCGGGGCACGAGCTCCGAGATAGACCCCGTGGGGTCCTGGAAACGTGACGGTGCGGCCGGGGAGGGCGACAGGGACTCAGGGGCAGCGCCTGGCGCCCCACACGCCCGGGCTCGTGGGAGCTGCTCTACGCGAGACAGAAGTTAAAAAGAAACCCACAAGCCGTTCCTCCTCTTCACATTTATTTTCCTGGTCTAAGAACAGGACGTTACAAAGGGGAGGGAGGCGGAGGTCTGACAGCCCTTAAGCTGCGGGAAGGCGGGCTCGACAGACCGGGGCTCGCCCCCCGACCACGTTCTGCGTGGACGAGGACACGAGGGTGTCCAGCCCGTGCCTCGGCACCGCGAGCCCCCTGCTCGGCACTCACCATCATGTGGTAGTCCTCGTGTCCCTCGATGGGCTCGCTGACCACGTTCTTGATGGAGCCCATGGGCAGCTTCTCCGTCCGCTCTAAGTCGAGAGGGATGACACTCGTTATTCAAAGCCCGCCTGCTGTCCCCGTGGACCCAGTGGTCCCCCGAGCCCTCATGGGGACGGGACGTGGCGATGGCGCAGTAAAGGTCTGAGAACAGAGCTGTCTCCTTCCTGGTCGTTTCAGAAGCTGACAACTAACAGATGTCCGAGCCACCCCACTGCACCCCTACTGCCCGAGCCAGCACTGGCGAAGGTCCCTGGTGCCTGGGACAGTGAGGGGGACGATGAACAAAGAGGCAGCAGCATGCCCCCGGGGGGGTCTGCGACTGGCCTCTCCCGATTTTGTGCACGCGCCCCTCCCTCCCCGGCCCCCACCCCTCCACACACTCTAAGTTCTCATGAAGCGTTTGTAAGCTCTTCCGGGGCCAGAAAACATGCTGCAAGTTTAAGGGTGGCAGGTGGCGGGCGGGGTGGCAGCGAGGGAGAGGGGCTGCTGGGAGTGCATGGGGGCGGCAAGACGGGGCGACAGCAGGAGACAGCAGGAGACAGCAGGGCACCTCGGCCCGAGGGAGCCACCACCCAGAAGCAGCAGATGCCTCAGGGACAGGAGAGGTTCTCAGCAAATACAAACCAAGTTCAAACAAACATTAAAAACTTTGCAGAGAAGTCTGGAAACGGCAAGATCTTAACCCAGATAACTTGATAAAACAGACCAGGAATTCAGAGACCAGGGTTCTAGTCTAGGTAGTGACTCGAGACGTTTCGTTTCTGTCCCGTGGGCCTCAGTCTCAAAAATGGGGATGGGACCTGCAGATACTCATCTGGTTTCGACTTTCAGTGGCTGTAAACCAGTGACCACAGGCAGGACCTGTCCAGCAAGCATTGTTATGAAGAAACGTCTTAAAATACCAGCCATCTGGAAACATCCAGACGTTTCACACAAAAATATGGGTTTCTGGCTTCTCCTGAAAATGCAAAGCATTTAACAGTCACGGACACACACTGCTGAGGGACGATGGGCCAGAGGAGATGCGACTTCCCCGCCATGCGTCCCTCCTGGAGCTGTCCTCTGTGGGGCCCGAGGCCAAGTCCTGCCACCCACACAAGGTGCCACAGAGTTTACGCCAAACAGGAGCCCCCAGCGTCACTCAGTAAAGCACCGTGGAAGAGCAGGCCAGCCTGTTGGTGGGGTAGCCACTTCACATGGCGTCTCACCGGCAGAAGGAAGAGAACAAGCTGTCCTCCGACACCCGGGTGACAGGTCCCCCAGGCAAGCGAGGGGGTGCCCAAGGCACGTGGAGCAGGGCTCTGGGTGGGGTAAGGCCAGCCCTAAGACGTGGATACTTCACGCCCATGCTGGTCAGTGAGAGGGTCTCACGGTGACACCCAACACACTAGGATTCTTCTAGAACCCTCCTCCAGCTGGGGCAGGAGGTTCTTGTTTACCCTGCAGTCATGGCGTGTCCCCCACACTGATCCCTAACACAAAGACTTCTGAGGAACCAACGGGCCTCAGACTTGGTTCTCGAGACCGCCCGGCTGCACCTACCCGCCAGGCCATCGGTGTCTCTGTCAGCCTCGGCCACTGCCTTCCACTGGGCTGCCGAAGCGACAGTCTCTGGAGAGGCAGGGCCTCGGCGAGGCCGCGATGGGACTAAGCCCAACCACCTGCCGACACCAAGGGAAGAGCTGAGGGAGCACCGGGCAGGGGACGACGGAGCGGCTCGGCGGAGGACGGCGACCTGGGACACGGGCCAGCGGCCCCAGGAGAGCGGGGAGCCCTGGAAGTCCGCGAAATTCACTGCCCACGCAGTTAAGAGTCCAACGTGGCACAAAGAACGTGGCAGGTAGTCACGCAACCGTCAGAAAGCTCGAGCGTCTCTGCCATTTCGGTCTTTGTTCGTTTTAAGGACCACAGTAGGATTGAAAACGAGAACTTTTCTGCATTTTAGATGATGAAAGTCTTACCCTCCATCACTCCGGCCTGGTTATTATAAGACTTTGGTGCCATCTGAAGCAGAATCACACTAACGGCCTGGCCCTGAAACCAGCTGACCCCCGAGGCCAGGGTCCCCTGAACTTCTCTTTAGCGTTTAGCTCACACGCTGAACACCCGCAGTGCAGGCCAGAAGCAGGTGAGTCGGGCATGCCTGGTCCCCTCCAGGAATCTCACGGGGACAGACAACTCAGAGAGTGACGAGTGCTCCAGGGCATACACAGGCACTCTCTCGACAGAAGCAGAGACAAGTCAGGGAAGGCTTCAGAGGGGGACGAGCGCGTGGGCCGCAGGAGCGGAGTGGGGAGGAGGCAGCGCACGTGAGCAAAGACGCACAGCGTCCGGGCGGCGATGCAGCCGTGATGCGTGGGCGACAGGGCCAGTGCCGCCGGGAACTGGGGCGAGTCCAACGGGCCACCGACGAGACCGGAGCCCACGGAGCAGCACCGGGACCTGGCCTGAGCACCGAAGGTTCCCGAGCACGGCGGTCAGTGAGAAAACCGGATGAAAGCGGGGCAGGACGGGGCAGGGGGCCGGGTGGCTTCCGCCACGAACGAGCACAAGGACACCAGGACTGGTTTTTCTTTTTTAGGCGAGACAACCCTTGGTTGACCTCACGGATTACAAGGACCTTGTCAGCTTACTATCCCTTATTTTTTACTTTTTACGCCTACAGCACCTGGTCTTCCTAGGTGGTCTCCCATCCAAGGACCGACCAGGCCCGACCCTGCTTAGCTTCCGAGATCAGATAGGATCGGGCGTGTTCTGGGTGGCGTGGCCATGGACAGAGGCGCCAGGAGTCATAAGTGGCACAACAGAGTGGTGAAGAAACACAGGCAGTTCCAGAGTGTGACGGACAGAACTCTGAACCACCTTGACCTCACGGATTACAAGGACCTTGTCAGCTTACTATCCCTTATTTTTTACTTTTTACGCCTACAGCACCTGGTCTTCCTAGGTGGTCTCCCATCCAAGGACCGACCAGGCCCGACCCTGCTTAGCTTCCGAGATCAGATAGGATCGGGCGTGTTCTGGGTGGCGTGGCCATGGACAGAGGCGCCAGGAGTCATAAGTGGCACAACAGAGTGGTGAAGAAACACAGGCAGTTCCAGAGTGTGACGGACAGAACTCTGAACCACCTGGGGAAGGGTGAGAAAAGACACGCTTCCCGCAAACAGTGAGCTGGACCCGCTGTGCACATGCGCGGAGGGCAGGGTCCCAGTACCGGAAAAGAGCACGGGGCAAACTGACCTACAGTGGCCAGGCAGGTGCCACCCGAAGGACCCTGGCTATGTACTAGATGAATGGGACAGCAGGAACTAGCCTGGCCCATTTGAAAGTGCGACGCAGCAGCAGCTGACACCAGTACTAGGGATGCAGGTCCACGACGGCTACAGCTTTTGATTTTTTTGAAGAAAACCCAAAAACATCAGATCGAGTAAAATCTCCCGATTTTTATAGACTATAAAGCCACAAAATCCTCTACCTGTGGACCAGACCTGCCCCCCAGGCCACACGACTGGGATCCCTGGTTTCAGGTGCCAGTCTGTGACGGATGGCCCAGACACAGACGGGGAAGGATGAGGGAGAGGGTCCACACAGGAGGCGAGCACCTAGAGCAGAATCAGAGGCCGGGTGCAGACAGAGCGGAGTGGAGATGTCCCAAGACAAGGAGCAGAGTCGCGCCCGAGACCGGGCGCCGCGAGAGGCGGGGCCGCGTACCTTTAGTGCCGATCCACAGCTGGTCTTGCTCGAGCTTGAAGGTGAGCCTCACTTTTCCTCCGGACTTATTGTACATGCCGGACAGGGGCACTGTTGGCAGGCGCTCCTGGAGGCACAGGAGTGTGTTACGGGATGGAGGGAACAGAAACGAGGTGGCACAGGAAAAGGACAAGGACCGGACACAGGCTGCGAGGACGGGAGCACAGGGACCTCGGCAACTCTCGCGGGATGCGCGCGGTGGCTCACCTGGGCCCCCTTCACAGAGGGCATCACGTCTTCCGGTTTCCCTTTATCCAGCACTTTCCTGTGTTGCTGTAACACAAGTCGGAAGGGATCAGTAAATGAAACAGAGGCCTGCATTTTCGTCACGTTACTACCTCTGAAAAAGAGGACGGAGAAAGCCTCGATTTTCGGGGTCAAAAACTTTTCCTATCTACAGGTGATGGACGGGTCCTCCTATGCCAGAGCAGCGCTGCCCCGCGGACGTGTCTGTGACGGTGGGCGTGCCACCCGAGACAGCAGCCGTGAGCCACACATGGCAGTTAAGCACTGGAAAGGGGGCTAGTGTGACCGAGGACTGAGACCTTCACTTTACTGAATTTTAACCAGCCACATGTGGCTACCACATTAGATGCCAAAGGTCTAGAGCAAACGGTGTCCCGGCTGACGCGAATCAGCTCTACCACCCCCCGCCCCCCACATCGCCACCGAGAGAATCGAACATCAAGCTAAGACCGCCACGAAGGGTGCTGCTCACACAGGTACAAACGACAGCCACTTCTGTCAACTTAAAGTCCCGAAGGAGCCTCTAATGATGCTGGTGGGAGCCTGACTGTCTAGAGGGGCGTTTCTTCAATGGACGGAGACCGGCCCCGCCCTCAACCCTGGCTAATGAGAAAGCCGGAGGGACCACATTCCCAGAGAAACGCCGATCATGCTGCAGGCTGATGTTAAGACCCCTTCCTCCCTCCCCCCGCAGGCAGCTCATGGGTTCTCACTAGACCCGCGGCCCCTGAAGCAGCTCCTGACTGGCCCGAATGCCTGAGTCCTGTTTTGCTCCGCCTGCACCTTTACGGGTACAATCACTACCTGACAAACCTAGGACTGTGGGACAATCAGCTGGTGGAGAGCAAAAATTTAATCGCGTTTAAGCACCAGGTGGCCATGAGCCAGCTCAAACCCTCAGTGGCACAGCAGAAACCCTCTGGAAGGAATAAACTCAACAGTGCCACACTGCTAACAAAGGGTCACCACGGACACCAGCCCCTGGTCCCTGAACAGCTGAGGAAAAGCCGGGACAAGAGGCGCCTCTCCGGAGGCTACGCCCCTTCCCGGGTATCAGTGGGACGCAGCGCGGGAATCGGAAGCTTGATGTGACTCACGCCTCAAAAGTTCCTTGTGAAGGGCCCTCCCTGCACTGTGGGGGGCAGTGCTAAACCTGTCGAGCTACCATCGGTCACTCAAAACCTGTACTTAGAGGCGTGTGTGCTCCGGGGTGTGGCCAGCGGCACGCTCTCTCGCGGCTGCCTCCACATATTTGACGCTTTCGTGCACACGGCAGAGGAAGACCAGGAAATGGACATGAACTCATCTGGTTACAAGCTTTATGACCCCGTGTTTTGGGGTCGAAGTGTCCAAATAAACACCTTTTGGGTATTAACATCGTTTCACAATCCCTTAGCTGAAACCGTATGACAGATATTTTGAGCTTCTGCAAAGCCCAAAAGTTTTGGTGGCTTTATAAATGTGACAAAGACGTCATGTCACATCTGGGTCTGGGGAAGCACCCTGTCACCCAACATGTCAGCATTTTAAAGGAAAACCGTGAACATTCACACTAATCCTAGTTACGTTTTGCTGCCACGTTTCTAAAAGCAAATGGGGTTTTAGACTCTTTAAGGGTTTTGGAAGCAGATGGAAGATGTGGGCCGATGACGGAAAACTGTGTCCTTCTCACTGCTGGTCACATGCCTTGGTGCCTGTAGTCACTAAAACCAGTGCTGTTCCAGCTGACCCACTAAGAGTGCCAGCAGGCCCTCCAACAATGAGTGGGATCTGCTAAGTGACAAGATCACAAGTGACGGTTCCTTTGACAGTGACATCCTCTCACCTGTCCTAAGCACAAAAAGAATTTTAACGGCTCCGACGAGCACGAGGCAAGGCCCCATGCGCTGCACCCAAAGTGAGCAACAGGGAGCGAAAAATCAGGCCCGAGCTTCATGGACCAGGAGGGGAAAAAATACCAGCGCAGTCCTTCCCAGTCAGCTTCGCTCGGCTTCCTGAAACGGCCAGTTTTAGAGGAAGCCCTGAAAGCCACTCATTTCCGCGCCGCTCCAGAAGCGGGCTTGTGGACTTGGGGGAAGCCACGTGCCAAAAAACAAACGTGAGCACTGACGTGACGTGGAGTTAATTCTAGCGATGGCGCTTTTCCATGGCAGGAAACGCGGGAGCGACGTGAGTCTGACTCTGCAGCTGCCTTCGCAAAGGCCTTATCCTAAAGTAGATAGACTTGAGACACACTGACCCGCCAGATGAGACAAAGCTGCAAATCTCAGGTAGTTGTCACCTCCACTCAACAGCCAGCCGCACCCAACTGCTGCCATAAATTTCCATCATGGGCCCTGTCCGAAAAGGAGCTTATTCTAGGGAGGGAGGACACATAGGCCACGGCTCCGCAGGACCAAGCCCGCAGCGTCTTGGGCCTGACGGCCGCGTGCGGACTCACCTTCTGTCTGCACAGTGGCTCCTTCTTGTTCTCCTCGGCCTTCGCGTCCTGCTGCGCGGCGTCTTTGGGCGTGTTCACTGCTAAGACATCGTTTATCGTGGAGCCAACCACCATGATCTTGGCTCCGCTGGTCACTCTGATTTCCCTCAACGTCTTCTCCTCAGGGACGAGTCCCTTATACATGACCTTCTGCATGGCTGGCGGGAGACCTTGGGAAAAGGCAGCAGACAGTGAGAAGGAACGAAGACCGTACCTGGCCCAGAGCCCTTTGGCAAACGGACCCCAAAGTGAATACTGCTCGCCCACTTTTGTTTGTGCGCCCAGGCAATTCACAACCTGACTCAGCCTCAGTTTCCAGAACTCTGAACAGTGATCACACTAGTTCCTCCTGTAAGAACTTATTTTAAAGATTAAGAGATAGGACAGAGAGTGCAGCTCAATGCTGGGTATTCAATAACTACTTAACAAACATTAGCCGACGTTCATTCCAAGTTGTTCCTCAAGCTTCCAATTGCTCAAACCTTAAGTCCACAGACCTTAAGGATACAGAAACCATTAAGAACCAAATCCCTGTTTTTATGGAGTTTATAAGCTGCAAGGAAACACGCCAAAAAAAATCGCTTCACAGAGCAAAGTGCTATAAATGAAAATTAAGGGACACGAGCATCTGTGCAGGGGCCAACATGACGGTCAAAAGCAGTTTTCCCTCAACTCCTCTATGAGAATTATCTGACACATTTGCTAAAAATAAAATCCCGGCCACATTCCAGACCCACTGAATCAAAATTTCCAGAAAGAAGGACCTGGGGGCTGTTAGTCCATCGAGTGCGAACGGTAGTTTTTATCAGAGATGCTCGGGCAGCACTGATTAACCGCTTGGGCCTACGAGTCAGACTCCGGCCTCAATGCCCGCTCGGTGATCTTGGGTCTCATTCTGCTCGCTGAATGATGGGCACCCTAGGACCCACTTCGGAGGGCTGCCACAAGGGGAGCGGCCGGCATGGGGCCCCGCACAGTGCGAGCGCCAGGAGCCAGCAGGCGCAGGGGGCCTGCGGGCTGTGGCTGGCAGTGCGGCGGGCAGTACCTGTGATCGAGTGAATCTTCTGCTTCAGCTCGGAGCCTGTGCTGTCCAGCGGGAACTTCACGTCGTGCTTGGTCTTGTTCCAGATGATCTTCAGGTCCACCAGCTCCCGGCCCGCGCCGCCGCCCGCGTCCTCGCCGTTGCTGACCGAGGCCTGGCCGGCGGGGTCCCCGGGGGGCTGGGCCGGGGCCGGCTGCAGGCT